AGTCGGCCGCTTAACCGACTGAGCCACCCAGGCGCCCCAATAAGGAATTTTTAAATGTTACATGAGTTTATAGAAGAAAAGTTTGCTGTCACTATGGTCCACAGACTGTATTACACACATTATTTAGGCAATGGTGAGATTCACACAGCCACATGCGTCCTTGGCACTGAATAACATCTCACAAATTCTATAATTTATAGTGTCAGAAATTAAGACTTTAACAGCACTTAATATTTAAAAGGAATTTGAGGTTTTAATAGTATTAATAAAGAGTGCCCTCCTGGTATTCATGACATTTTAAAATTAAAATCAGTTAGCCTCATGACCCAGGAGCTTATGTTGTTTAATTTTACTAGATAACAAACACTCTGGGAAAGGGAGAATGGGAAGGCCTTCAGAAGTTTCGTTTGTACAATTATATTCTATGGTTTTGGAGTGCACACACACACACACACACACACACACACGCACGTGTGCTTTTCCCTACAAGGACGCAAATCTCAGCCAAGACAAAAAAGGAAGATGGGGTCACTATTTGATAATTTTGTAAATGCTTATGAGATATTTATCCACTCTTCAACCAAAATGCAAAACAAGGCCTTTATTGATACATAACAGATTATAAAACAAAAAGCCTATGAAATAAAGCCATGCCCTGTAACACACATTTATCATAGTTTATGGAAATGTTTAAGAACTAACATTTCTGTAATCTTGTTAATAATCCCTTTGAAACTATTTCTAATGATGTGAACACAAACCAAACACTCTTAAGGATTTTCAGAACAGCAATACATTTTTCATTAGTAATTAATATTCAGTTACTATTTTAAGCCAAAAAATGTCATTTTAATTATTAGGTTAAGTTTTATTTGAAGTTATATAGACCGGAAAGCCATAATTACAGTGTTTTGTTTGTTGCATCAAGTTACAGAGTAGGCAAGATTTAGAAATTGGTAATGGTAAAGAAAACAGATGCTTAACAAATTCTCATTGATCTAAAGCCAGCTAACTTGGTCTTTACGAGAACTTCAACATGATTAGACTTCGTGGTGAGTCAAAGTAAAGGGTAATGTTGACTTAAACAACCAGGCTTTTGTGCATATGACACGTTATCATCTAAAATAAAGAGAAATAGTATTGTTTTACTTTTTCCTTAACTTACTTCATTTTATTCTTTTTACTTATTTGTAGAATTGTAATGTGCACAGTCCCTTAGAATTTTAAATAAGATCTTTCTATAAAGTTAACTTTAGTAAAGAGAAAATTCTTCCTTACCTATCAACACTAGTGAAGATTTTACTAGGTAAACTAAATGGTGTTTAAATTAATTTCCACTGTTACTTGCTGTTCCAGTTTGGCAGCGTGTATTTGGTGAACCCGAGCAACCTGCTGAATGATCGTTTTTTATGGGAAAAGGGAGAAAAGGTGAAATGCTCTGGAAAGGGCACAGCTACATTTTGTTTCGTTCTGCTTCACTATTATGTTCAGAGAAAAACATGGCTCAGAACTCACAGAACAGATCTCAAGTTCCCTAAATTATGGCAAGCACATGCAAGAGGGGGTACTTCTAAAAACTTACATTTCCACATCAGCTCTTGATATTATGAACTGTTCTTTTCTAGACTGGAGGAGTTTAGATCAAGTTACAGGTGTGAAACCTTTGTGAGAGCCCCAAGATAACTGCAAAGTATGGTATTGGGGTGTGTGTGTATGGAAATGACTTGACTTGGCAAATTATACTTCATACAAAGTATAAAGACTTCATTTCTGTTTTCAGTGATATATCACATCATGGACAGAAGAGAACAGGAGAGCAGAAAAATGATGAAAGCTGAGTTTTAAAGCCAGTATTAGAGATTACATAAAGGTTACAGAGATTAATTATTTTAAGTTTTGTGAAGTGCCCATAGTATTCTTATGCTAACTGTATTCATTTGAA